CCACTGTATTCTCAGTGCCTAGGACTACATCTGGCACGTAGTAGGTGCTCAATAAATATCAATCAAATGAATGAATGAGCAAATGACAAATCAGCCACCTGTGAGGTAGGCATCCTGATCCCATTTTACAGAGGCGAGGACAGACTTAAAGAGTTTAAGTGGCAGAGCTGAATTTTTTTTAACATTTTTATTGATTTATAATCATTTTACAATGTTGTGTCAAACCTACATCTTAACTGACTCCAAGGTCCATGCTCTCCACCACGATGCATGGCCAGGGTGTAATAAACATGACTCACCAAAACAGCAAAGCCATTTCCATGTTAGTAGAGTTAATCATTATGAGAACCCCAGTGCCCTTAAGATGTGCATGCACGCAAAGTATGACTGTTCATATTGTCCTGTGTGTTCAACTAAGGTCTAATGACTGGCCATAAAAAAGGAGAGGGCTCAGTGTCTTTAGCTGGTTTGGGAACACTTTCCTAGTCATCAACTGAAATTTACCAAATAAAGCCACTAATGACATGGACCTTTGCTCTACCTCTGTGTTAATCAGATATCAATTTTATCTCCTGAAAGACTTCTAGTCTACCAGAGCTTTTGTTTTTCTGTGATTTCTAAACTGAGGAGACTCTAATCTAAACCCTGTCATTCCAGAGGAATGGAAAGCCCAATTCATTAAAACGGAAAGGAAGAAACTCTTGAACTACAAGGCTTGGCTGGTGAAGGACCTCCAACCACGAATTTATTGCCCCTTTGCTGGGTATTTTGTGGAATCCCACCCATCAGACAAGTATGGCTGAACATTTAGTGTAATGTATAAATTAATGTGTGCTGGGATGAATGGTTTAGCTGTGAATACAACATGAAATGATGAAGACATTGTAGGGGTCTTAGAACTTATTTAACAAGCTGCCTGGTATCAGAGAACATGAATAAAAACCATACGTGGCAGCCAGAGTTAATTCAGATAGATTTTGCCTGAAAGGATTCTGGAAAGCAATGGATGTATATTCAGTATATGCTGGGAACTGAACTGGAACTTTTAACCAAGTCATTTAAATTAGTCTTCCAAGTGACACTTGGATTATTATGCCTGTTTAGGTTAGGGAATCTAAAACTTAGAGAGGCTGAGGGTCTTGCCTGAAGTCA